ACAATTTATTTGGATCTTGAATGCCCCTCATTAAGAACCTTAAAAATGAATTTATTTTATTTTATCTAATAAAATAAAACTATTTTATTCCACTTGTAGTTAGACATCAGCCACACCTGATGCATGTACATTAAAGAAGGTATTGCTTTTAACAAATACCACCATGACCGCTCAGTCTCTTTAGGTCTTGGAGCCATCATGTGTCTGGCTTAGTGTTTTCTGGCCCAAGGCAGCAACTTTGTCTCCATTGACCTGTACATGTCTACTACACTGACGCTCAAGATGCCAGTTGTTCTGTGGGCATTTGTTTGTACCACTGACACTGAGCGACCGGGCTCAAAGGTTGCTCCACAGTGACAGCACCCACATAACCCCAGTTACCCCGGAATAAAAAAAACTTTTAGGAAAGTGCATAGAAAATGAGAATCTTGACCAATTAATTTTAAGAATAGTTATGTAAGTAATTTTAAGTTAAAAAAAAGTTTAAATAATTTGAATACCTTGAGAATAATGGACGCAAAGTATAAACATAACTGTTTTATACTAAAATATGTTTTATGCCAAAATACAAAAGGTGAGCAAATAATTTTATCAATATGGAATATTATATAGTTTAAGTGAGGTTTTTAAGGCTAAAAAGAAGCCAGTCTACCTGGACAACAACCCACCAGAGGGTGCATTCAAGAGGGGTGGAGTTTGAGCCACAGTAGGACCCAGACTGGTTTGGTGTCATGACCTCTAGCAAGTCAAGACTCAAAATTTTTATTGTCATTCTATTTGTGTGAGCACATATAAAGAATGCAAATAGATTTTCAGGTCCCAGTGGGTACAAGTAATACACATGTAATAAGAAGACACAATCTAAGCAATAAAATCATCTAAAAGTAGTAATCTTAGCAATAAATAAAAAATAATAATTAAAGGTTGTTTTGGTGATCCTGGAAAAACCAGCAAGAGGAAGCTCGATTTTGAAAGCACTCAACTGAAAAAATCCCACCATTTTCACATTTTCATTTCTCTCCAAAACACAATGTGCACTGCAACGTGCACTGCCTGACTACTAGCTTCAGATTTCAGGAAAATAACAAATGCTCCCCAAACAAAACATGGGCTTTATCCCATCTTGGTAACACTAACACTGCACGTGGCCTTTGATGCCCATTTAACTACAATACAGTCCTATTTATATACACTTAGAATTGACTACTGTTGGTATTTTCCCCAAGCGTGGCTGCATATTAAAGGAGTCCGTTCAGTGTGGCAGTCTTCTTGCTCTCTTACTCCTCACACTGCATGCAGGTCACAACTACTGGCAACAACGACATTTCAAATAAGGCCATACGTATGTCTTAAATGGGAAGGCCTAGAGTGTAACAACATCTGCTGATGTAAAGATTTTCAGAGGTGGGTGGGCTACAGCCTATGAATTTTGTGCAGACTTTACATCTGCTGTGGTGCTTTTTTCTCAGTAACCGTGCAGTTACCATACCATACAGTGATGCAAGAGGTGATGATGCTCTCTGTCACACACTTGTGAAAAAAGGTGAGTAGTTTTGCATCCATTCCAGCCTGCCTCGTGGCTCTCTTAACAATGCTATTACAGCTGCAGATAAGGTTTTCAGTAATTCTGTATTCAGCCTGAATAATGGCACTCAGACTGTGGTTTTCTTGTTTTGAATGTCTATGTCTTCTTGTTTTGAAGGTGTATAACCAAAGTGTAATGCAGGGATTATTTTAACAAAGCAGTCTTTGTCAGGATAACAAAGATTTCAAATGCATATACTGTATATCTCACAATTTAAACATATCAGTTACCTTTTTATACTGATGCAAGGGTGTCTGCATACATTATAAAAGATTTTACTTTTTTATCATGTCTTTTTCTTAGTGATGTTGATGCTCCCTTTGCATGCTGGTCAAAGGATCAGATGTGTGACTGGCTACAAGAACAGGGTCTTGTCCTTAACGTGAACATGGCTCATGTATGGATCTCCTCTGAAGGGTGAGACGAAGACACAAAATTCAGTACATTTACTAAAGCTGACAGACATGCTAAGTATTATTGTATTGAAGTTACTGTGTAGTATCCCAGGGAAGTTATGTGTAATCCTCACTTGTTTTCTTGTGGATGTTTAGTAGCTGGGCATCAAACACCCACTGCACAGAAAGACATTGCTGCTGGCTCTGCAGGCCCTTGGCTCAGAGGAGGATGTTAATAATGGGTGGCTGGATTACAACTGGGTGACTATGAACACAGCTGCTTGCATTGTACAGTAGACCACATGATGAGATGTGTTCACTATAGCAGTCACTTGAGAAATTAAAGCTTTTGCAGCCTTTTGTATACTTCTTTTATAATACACAACTTTATGCAAGCACACTCACTGCTTCCAAGCTGTGATTTAGTCTTTTTTATGCTGTATGCCCATAGAACAACATCTCTCCAGCAGAGCAGTGGACGAACCACAGGGCGATATGGCTGCAGTCTGTAGAGCTCGCTGAATCTCCCAACTTGAGAGGTAGCAGTGTGCACAGAAGCCTGGTGGTGAGACAGTCCAGAGTCTTCTGGGAAATGCAGGCTGTCCTCAAAGGTATTGTTTTTGGTCTTAATACATCTCCCCTCCTCAGTTGTTGGAGCCATGGTTCAGCATGGAAACTATGGCCCTGCTGCTGAACGTTCCCCCCAGTAGAAACCCTGCTGCATCATCACCTTGCCACACAATTCAGAGGCTCAGAGGCTTAGCAGCTAAAACTTTGTTTCTTTTGTTTTGTGTTTTTATGATACAGTCTTACAGCCACATTTTCATTTAAAAACCATAATCATAAAAATGAGCAAATCACAATTTCAAAGAATAAAATAACAGTGACAGTGGTGTGATAGTGGTGCGGTGGGTATTGTTGGACCTGGTGGTACTCTGAGAGACGAAGCAGTCCAAGTACTTTTAAAAGAGTGCTGATTTATTCAATGAACACAGGTAAAAATTAACATTACACGCTCAGGTATCTTGCACCTCCAACATGCACGCAGGCAGCTGAAAGATGAAAGACCCTGAACCCACCAGGCCTATACATTATATCACTTTGGTTGGGCTAGCCCCATACTACACAGAGAGACACCAAACCGTGACGTCTCCCGGTGCCAGCTTTGCAGCTGACCATGGCAGTAGTCAAAGCATGAAGAAAATCAGTGTGTGATTGTCTGTTGATTATGTGGTGTGTAGCTAAAAACATTCTAACACAACCTCTAGTGACATAATGGCTATGACTACAGTTATACACGTCATAATAATAATAATAATAAACATCCTGTCTTCTAACAGTCATCAACTTTCTATCTAGTTATCCTTGACCATAAGCAACCTGCAGTAACTCATGAGCATGACTAAGCATTTAACAGCCTGAGCTAGACATCCTGTCTACATTAAACATTTCTAATACATCAAGTATCTAACCAATATCTATCTGACTAAAAATACCTAACAGTAGAGCAGCTGTCTCCAACTGGAGATGCATTAATAACAACAACAGTAATAGTAGTATAAAGCATTCATTGATGAATATAAACTTGCTTTTGGCTATGCCTCATTCCCTTTTATTAAACGCAAATATATAGGAATTGTTCAAATTGCATTGGGCATTCTTGTTGATAATAGTGAGCTTTTGAGGCTGTTTTTTCCCCTTTGCCTGCAAAGTCACAGAAAAGTACCTGGGCAAGCAGAGGGAATCTCTAGATTAATATATGCAGCTCAATCTTTATACTTAAATCCGCAAATACTTAAATCGATTGATCAAACATTATTTACCTTTATATGGAAAAATCGCATACACTATGTTAAAAAATCTGTAATGATGAACACATATGGAAATGGTGGCCTTAACTTATTAGATTTTACCACCCTAAACAACACCTTTAAAATCAATTGGCTGAAATCATATTTGAAATCTCCTTTATCTATCTGGTATATATTCCCTCACTGTGTTTTCTCTAAAATTGGTGGCTTAAAATTTACCTTGCTCTGTCAATACAATGTTAATAAAATCCCAGTAGTACTTTCCAATTTTCACAAACAAATGCTATTGTCATGGACCCTAGCCTATAAACACAACTTTTCCCCACACAAATGTTACATCTGGAACAACCAATATATAACTCATAAGAGTAAATCTCTATTTCTTTATAATTGGTTTGAAAATAATATCCTGTTGGTGAAACAGCTTTTAAATGACCAGGGTGTTCCTTTGACATTTGAAGAACTGAAAAATCGATTTAACTTTAGTCCTACACTAAAGGAATACTCATTGACTATTGGAGCGATTCCCTCTGGACTGCTGATGCTCTTCAAGAACCTGGACAATGATACGGATGACTCCTCTTTTCTATTGGACCCAGCCGACACGTTCATAGGGAAAACATGCTTCACCACTATAAGAAAGAAGAACAATCGAGCTATTCGCGCTATTTTTCAACAGGATGTAGTGTCTATGCCATATATTATATCATACTGGAATACTTTGGTTCCGGACATTTGCTGGGATAAAGTATGGTTATTGCCTTTTAAATATATGATCAGTAATAAAATAAGAGAGGTCTCCTTTAAGTTAATTCACAGATTTTACCCATCTGCTCATTATCTTACAAGATTTAATATGTCTATTAATACATCGTGTGTTTTCTGTCTGTTATGCGAAATTAAAAATTATTTCTCCTCCATCCTGAAGAGCGAAAATAAAAAAGCTATCAAAATTTGTAATATATGTACTTCCCTGAATGTTTTTACTTAACTTAACCCATTAAGTCACCCCCTGGCCTAAAAGTTTCATGTTCACATTGTCTGCTTCGATGTTGTTCTTGTTTTTATGTTCTTTATTTTATGTTATAGTCCTCTTGTTTCCGATCTATTTACGTATGTATAACTACTGTCATATGCCTCAATAAAGTATTGAAAAAAAAAGTAAAGTACCTGGGCGTGGTTTAACGTCACGACGTTTGGCGGCGTTACGCAAACCGTTCGGCGCAAAAATTCAAACGCTTAACAGAAAGAAAAGAGGGACTGCTGCTTACTCGATCACCAATGCAGTATTGCTAATAATAAGAGGTTGCAAATAAAGCCACATCGGATTTTACACATTTCGAGGTACGCTGAGTAGACAAAAGAAGTTTTGCGCTAAGCTCATGTGTGTCCGTAAGCCAGTTAGCTGATACCGATAGTTACAACACGTTCATATTTATTTGCTAGCTAATGCTAGCTAACGCTAGCGTCTTTATGCTAGATTGCATACAAATACATTAGCGTAATGTTAGCAACTGGTTTTCTTGTTGTTTTGTTGATCTTTAATTAGCTCATTAAATAAACTTGTCAAATGTGCTATAGCGTTAGCGTTCTGTTGATTTAACCTTATATCACCTCAACCATCCGAATGCTTTTTTCATTTGGTATTTGCTGTTATGATTATGACGTTAGTTGTAACGATAAATCTCAACTCAGGTCCCAGTGACAGAAAACGACATGCTTTACATACAAAGATGGCAGGGGGTGTGAGACGTCTGTTGTTTATTTCGTTTTTCTAGCGGTTACGTTTTTTAATATGATCTTTTATGTGTTGTTTTTTTCTGTTGCTGTAACGACTGGAGGTCACTAAAATTTCGTTGTATGTGTTACAATGACAATAAATGATTATCTTATCTTATATTAGTAAAGCATGTACCATTACACACACTGGCTGTAGAAATACATCATAAAGGGAGGAAGTGTAATAACGTAGTTGTTGTGGTGATATAAAGGCTTAATTGCTCTTTCATCAGCAGTAAGACTGACTGCATGCTTCTCTGACTCTAATTAAGATGAGTGCAGCCTCGACACCCCTTTCCCGGGTACGTTCAGCGTGGACGTCATCCTCCTTGAAGAGCAAAGGTGGGTCCCCTGCAGCCTGCAGCACCCTGCTGCTGGCTGCTTTCCCCGGTAACGATGATGAGCAGGAACGTCGTCAGCGCCGAAGGTCAAGAGTCCTTGACCTTCAGAGTGCCAGTGACTCCTCCTTTAATGACTCTGCAACTCATAGGTATGATACATGTTTAGCAAACCCTGCTTCTGACAGTGTTTTGAGCATACTTTTGGTAGCAGGCCAATCATGTAACACTTGTAGTTTATATTTAAGCTGACTTTGTTTTAAAAGACATTTTAAATCATGGTTTTAACAGGCCTTTTCTGTCTGCCCTGCCAAATATCTATAATGACAGCTTAAAAATAATCTCACGTTTTTTATAGTGCTGCTGGGACTCCTGCTGCTGTGCCCAAATTGTCAAATGCACAAATATCAGAGCATTACTCCACCTGCATAAAGCTGTCCACTGAGAATGTAAGTATACTACAGATGTACTACCTGAATCACTGAGAAATCATTCCATGTTGCGCACAATATAAATATGAAGAGTTATTATACTTACAGAATAATTATTCTGGAAATGTATTACTTTTTAATACTCTTTTTGTACTACTGCATGTGTTTAACATCTAATGTATCACATTTGCAAGAGATTGTTAATTGCTAAAAGTAACGACTGATGTGTGTCTTCATTTTGGGCAGAAAATCACCACCAAAAATGCCTTTGGTCTGCATCTGATTGACTACATGGCTGACATTCTCAAACAGAAAGATTCAGAGATCACAAACTTCAAGGTACTTCAAGGAGTTTTTATCTGCTTTATGAGCCATTGATAATCCCTTGTTTCCCCTGAAGTCATTGTAACTTCTAATTAATTCAAGAAAACTGAATCAAATCTGTCATATTTCATCTATTCTAGTAGTTCTGTATGATATGACCAGAATTTCATATCCCAAGAGAAGAGAGTAAAAAAAGCATCATTTGAAAAGAACTATTTTCTAGTCCGTGTCAGGCTTTTCATACCCAAAACACATCTAGACTACAGAAATCACCACTATTTTAAGTACAAGCTCCTCGTTTTGTCTTGACTGGTTAGAGTCCTTCTCCTGTTTGGAATTTTTCCATTCTATCTCACCTTCACTGTCCTCCATGTTTGGGGGACTTATGCACCCATACTGTGTAGAAGAATGCAAAGTGTCCTTCCAAATGATGACAAATATTATTGTAAAGAGTGTGATTTTTGACACAACAAAATAAACGAGAGTATGATATGAAACGATAGGTGTTTTTATATCAGCACTATATAGCGCCATATTGCACAGCCCTATGTTGTAGCTATTTTTCTGTTTAATGCTGTAGTAATGAGAAGAAACACAGACTTTGTCATAATTCAACAAACCAAGTCTTTGAAAGATGTATCTTGGATTTTTTTTTAATCAGTGTTGATAACCATCAGCTAATTAACTCCCTAGAATCAATGATCCAAAGAAAAGGTCTGGTTGAATGTAGCACCTCAAGGTCCTTAAAAAGTTTTACGCTGTCTTTTAAAGGTCTTCAATCCAGTGAGGTATGGCATGAAGTTAGTTTAAAAGTCAAGATAAATTAGTGTAGCGTGGTGTTTTGTCTGATGAAATATTGATTCCCTTACTGTGATAAAGTAAGAATCCTGAGTCAACCCAGTCAAAGTGTGTTAGAGCTGTGAGCTGTGTTATTCCAGGAAATTGCCATAGTATGGAATAGTCATTGAGAGACTTTTATTTATTTATTTTGCAAACTATGTGTATATGACATTTGCATCATTTGTGTGTGTATCTTTCTAAAGGTGGCAGCTGGTACTTTGGATGCCAGTACAAAGATCTATGCAGTGAGGGTAGATGCAGTTCATGCTGATGCCTACAGGGTGCTGGGTGGCCTGGGAGCTGAGACCAAACCTGGAGAGGGTGAGAGCTTCAGCGCTGCTTGTTATTAGATTTTTATTTAAATACACTAAATTGCATTGGAACTAGGAAGCAGGTTTTCAGGCTTTATTTGTGTACACTGTTTGACGTTTTTCTCTTTTTTATTTCTATTTATTTTTGTTTGTTTGTTTTGTTTTGTTTTTGTACAGACCGTGGTCCAATGGAAGAAGATAAAGATGATGAAGAGGCTGCAGGAGGCGAAGTTACTGCCAAGCAATTGAAGAAAAAGAGGCCACCTAAGAAGACAGTGGAGCAGAACCTCAGCAACATCAATAGCACAGAGTCTGAGAGGAGGTGTGAGGTAAAATGTCATCTTTACAGAATAATACAAGTTTACAGTACATTTTTAAAAAATATCATGGTCTTTTGTTTCATAATGAGGAAACGTCACCCAGTGCAGTGGTGTGTTTCACTGATGTTTTAAATCATTTTTTAATAACAATGGAGGTCTATGGCATTGATGAATAAGCTCATCCAGGATTGACAGACATTAGCCTTGAGTAGAGGCAAATCATTGCTGGTTTTAGTCTGTATGGGGAGTGTTGGAAATACTGTTAATATTGAATATGACCCTATTCTTAAATAACTAAGCCTCTGTTTTTACTGGAAACACATAACAGAAGGATCGTTCATGAGTAAATGTGAGAAAGAGGGAGTATGATGAGAGATCAAATCAAAGTAACAAGAGAAATAAAACTTTATTTGATAGTGTTATGGCATTTATGTTCCAAAGCTTGAAATGTAGTTCTCAAACACCCAGTAGATTGTCAGTGTTGTAGACACAGGTGATCTGAAGTTTTCACTCTGCTCTTCTGCCTCCTTTTCTCCCTTTCAGTCATATTACTGCATCCAATTCAAACATCAGAATCACACCACATAAGTACAAACTACAGGATGACATTTTGTTGTTTTTCATCTGTGAAAGTCGTACAATTTCCACCAATATTTTTTTAATCTGTCCTCGGTCTATTTTGCATAATCATCATGGTTCTTCAGATGTGGCGGACACACTAACAGAAATGAGCGCAAAAGGCTTGTAGCTTCAAGTTTAGTTCTTCTGTAACCATCTGATTGAAAAGGAGTTTATGCTGACATTGTTTTCCCCAGTTTGACAAAATGAAAAAGTTCACACACACTCAGAACAACAGATTCACTACAGGGCAGATACTGATTAATTTGTGTAACCAGTTAGATATCCCTGTTTGGCAGTTTAATATTGCTGCATTACCAAAAGGTGACGGCTGTTGTAGCAACACTGGACAAAATCATAAAACGTACTGTGTCTACACCGAAAGGACAGTGTGAGCACCACGTAACATCTTGCGTGCACATCACAGGAGGCTTGCGCTTGTGTCTTCACTGGGTGCATGTTCCTTCACGCACAAGAAGCACTTGGTGTACAAAAACACACAGAGGAGCCAACACAAACACTTAGGAAAAGGGAAACCTATGGTCCAAAACTCCGACAAATGGTACACTATGAGGGAATTACTGGCCGCACTTGCATTAATATACACACGTGTCTGCTTGGACATAAGACTGTTCCAAATAAGGATCGGAATTGAAGTGGCTTTTTCCTGCCGATAATGAGACTGAAATATGCCCCGATCAGTGCTGACACATAGTATTTATATTTAATATTTGTTTGCATCCTGAGTACAGCAGAAAGCTTATTATCAGCCCCAGTACTGACCTGATGTGGCACATCAGTGCATCAGTAGTTTATTCACCTTTTCTGTGCTCTTATATTTTGTATACTCATGTACAAAGGTCAGTATACTTAAATGTAAGTCAAGGCCCTGTCCCTGCAGTTATAAAACGTCATAATCTGCTTATATCCACTGAATTTAATGAGTTCTTGTTTGATGATTAAGATAAATTATTTGGCATGGGTCACTAACTGTTATCTTAGGAGCTTTGAGAGATGTCTGTAGATTAATTTTTTAATCTTTGCTCTTCATTATGACTGCATTCCATACCCAAATTTATTGTAGTGCTCAAAACCAAAATCACATTTTACTCTAAATGTAGTTTCAGTAAACTGTATTAATATTTCTGACCACAGTTCTGATTTACAGCCTTGAACATACTGTATGATTGATTAACTGTGCTTCTTTCCTGTCCAGGTGGACCCCATGTTTCAGAGGATGGCCTCATCCTTTGATGAAAGCAGTACGGCTGGTGTCTTCTTGTCTGTTCTCTTCAGTGAGAACAGTGATTTTTTTCTTTCCCTCCTACATGAGCCTCCTGCAATCCAGACCCTCTTACTCTCCTCCCCCTCCACAAAGAGTCCCTGCATCCCCATTCAAGGGTAAAAAGCCTTTAAAAACTGCTCCATTAAGTATCTGTATAAGCCTCACTACCACTTAACCGTGCTTTATCTTTTGAGCTGTTCCTTTAGTAAAAATGCTAAAGCCCATCTTTCTCTGCTGTGTTTCTGTCAGCTGGATTGCAGCGCTCCCAGGAGAAAAGCTCCATCTGCCCCTCGCTGCAGGACTTCTCCTTCACTAGCTGGAACCCTGAGCAGGTCAGAGAAACCCTATAACCACCAAGCCTAATATTATAAATATTGTGTATTATGTGCTAGTCGGCTGTTGGTTGTGGTTTGTGCACAGTGGTCAAGTGCCACTTTTTCAACCCGACTGGCCTAGACAAAGCCGATGTGAGGCGGGGCAGCAGTCGGCCTTCATTGGTGCTAGTCCTTTCATGACGGCTTGTTGTGTCTCTGCCCTTAGGACCAATGGCTAAAGATGGCAGACTGAACGTGAGGTTTTTTTTGCTCAGCATTGTCTCTAGGTGTTTTCTAACTCTCTAGCAATAATGTATTTTATATCAGCACAGAAGCTCCAGTACTGCAGTTTAAAGTACTACTACTATTTTTTCAATATGTCATATTGTCTCAGAACTTCAGTCATGTAAAAACAACTTGCTAAAATGATCCACTGCTGGCATATTAGTCTTTAAATTATTAACAAATATTTTTATGTATCATATAAAAAGAGCGTTGGACCATCTGCGTGCACGGCTTTATTTTATATTGTGTGGAGTAGAAAAGAGAGAATCTGTAGCATGCAGGTATTTCAGCATGTTGTTCACAGTCTGAAGAACAGGGCCGTTGTTCTAAGATATTTAGGTTTAAAGGTCAATCACCTCCGCGCAACAGTGCTTCCGCAATCAGATTTGGAGATGGTGCCTTCATCCTTGCAGGTCTGACTAAGCCATTTGTTAAAGGTCTATTTATGTATATTGATCCTGTGCTTCATTTCGTTCACACCTACTTTAAGCAATATTTATATGTCGCCAGATTGAAGGCTTTAGTCTTTGGCACTGAAAATAATGCTTGGAATTGAACACAAAACCATAACTGAAAAAAAACTACAGACTGGGACATTTTCAAACAAGCAGCCTCTCTTTACAATTACATAGACATACAGGAATTACACTGTGATGTCACTCACGGCAAAAATATCACTGTTTGTGCTAACCAGAAGCCGTGGTTGACAGGTGAGGTTCCGAGCCCTCAGGACTCCTGAGTGCTCGGGATGCAGCCTTTAGGGCCAGCGACACTGCAGGCCTAGCAACAGCAAGAGCCAACCTGTCCCGTGGAATCAGGGAGGCAATACAGCAAGAAAGTATCTGGAGTCTCTGGAGGGGCATCCAAACCCTCAGACCATAAACCCCCACCCCAGATTTGCGATAGTGACATTTCTCTGCTGAACAGCCTCAGTGACTTTTTTGGCCGCTTTGAAACACAGAACAACACATCGGCACAGAAGGCCACCCCTCCCCTGGCGAGCAGGCTGTATGTCTGTCTGCAGCCAGTGTGAAGAAGACCCTCTCCAGGATTAACCCACGCAAGGCAGCTGGACCGGATAACATACCTGGTCATGTTTTAAAGGACTGCGCCAAGGAGCTCAAGGATGTCCTCATAGACATCTTTAACATCTCCCCGAGACAAGCAGTTTGTTCCCACATGTTTCAAGGCTGCCGCAATTGCCACAATAATTCCAATTCCAAAGAAGCCCCACCCAACCAGTTACAATGACTATTGGCCTGTAGCACTGACTTCAGTTATTATGAAGTGCTTTGAGCGGCTGGTCATGCAGAACGTCAGGTCCATCCTTCCTCCCTCACATGACCCTTTCCATTTCGCATACAGGTCAAACAGGTCCACAGAGGACACCAGCCCTCCCCCACCTAGATTCAAACAGCTCTTACATGCAAATGCTGTTCCTAGACTTCAGTTAAACATTCAACACAATCATTCCCCAGCAGCTTATACAAAAACTTGGACACTTGGGACTCAAACCTTTCTCTGCAACTGGGTGCTGGACTTTCTAACAGGGAGGCCACAAAATGTGTGGGTTAGCAGCAACACCTCCAAGACCATCATGCTGAGAACAGAGGGATGTGTGCTCACCCCATTGCTCTTCACACTGCTGACCCACAACCTACAGCACACAGCACAAGACTGATCTCATGAAATAAGCACTAACCACATTACCAACAATGATGAGGCCAACTACAGGAGTGAGGTGTGCCAACTGGTCCAGTGGTGTAAGGACAATAACCTCTCCTTCAATGTGGGGAAGACTAAAGAGATCATTGTGGACTTCAGGAGGAAACTTATAAAGCATCCCCCACTGACCATCAATGATGCTGTAGTAGAGAGAGTGAGCAGCACCAAGTTCCTGGGGGTGCACATATCTGAGGACCTCTCCTGGACCAACAACACAGCATCACTGGCCAAGAAAGCTCAAACATGCCTCTACTTCCTCCGCAAACTGAGGAGAGCCAGTGCCCCACCCCCCATCATGTGCTCCTTCTACCGGGGCACCATTGACAGCATCATCACTGGCTGCATCACTGTGTGGTACGGAGGCAGTACTGCTTTCTACAGAAGGACTCTGCAGCACATAGTTAATACAGCCAGTAAGATCATCGGCGCCCCTCTGCCTTCCGTCACGGACATTTTTAACACCTGCAGAGCCATCAGCATTGCTGATGATACCTCTCACTTTAGATTCCTGCCAGGGAGAAGGTATCGTCTTCAGGCCCACTCCACCAGACTTACAAACAGCTTCATCCACCAGGCTGTGAGGATGATGAACACTGTCCATTACCCCCCTGGTGATACTAACCACCTGACAGTCTTCTTGTCATTATTTGCACTACTGTCATTGATTGTACATGGTTTTGAGTCATATCCTATTAGGTTGTACCATTTAGTTTTATTCATATTACTCTAAATTAGTCTGATTTTACCATCATATCTGCTGCTGTTGGTCATTTGCACTACTGTCCATGTGCATCTCATAAGCCATTATGCACCTCATCACCAACGTCCCTGGTGATACTAACCACCTGACAGTCTTCTTGTCATTATTTGCACTACTGTCATTGATTGTACATGGTTTTGAGTCATATCCTATTAGGTTGTACCATTTAGTTTTATTCATATTACTCTAAATTAGTTTTCTTATTTTATTTTATTTTAGTTTCTTAAATGGTATGGCATTCAATATTAGGTGAGAGAGAAACAGTATTTCGATTTTTTTGTATGTCCTGTTCATATAGTGAATTGACAATAAAAATCTTTGATCTCTTGATCTCTATTTTGTTTCATTTAATATTTAAATGTTTTTCTGATTACTGTGACACCCCTAGTGACCACTACCTTCAGACCATGCTGTATGACTGACTTTGCATCTTCTTCCAGACTATGAATCAGCTCTTGGAGAAGATGAAGCAGGGCGAACACTTGTTTGATGTGAACGCCGAGCCCGAACCTGAAGAAGATGACTGCCCTGACTTTGACGCAGACTATGAGGAGGGACTGGGTGACTGTGAGGAGGGATTCAAAGAGCACAAAGATGGTTGTGAGGCAGCTGGCTCCAGCAGGGGAAGGTGAGATTGTGGATTGTAGGGCAGTTGAACAGCAGTGTTTATTTTCTGCTCAGAGATGGAAGAACTTGCCCTTTTACCACAGCTCTACTGATTAATTGAAGCTCATTTTTTTGTGAGATCACTTTTATAGTCCCAGGGGAACTGGGGAAAAGTTTATAGTGACGACTCTTTTCTGCACATTTTCTTTTCTCATCTATTTCTCTTTAATGCTGTTTGAACATTGTGTGCACAAAAAATAGCCTGTTCTTGATAACTCCTATTTTTACTTGCAAATTTAGAATACATTACTTCATCATTGGGGAAGTGTAATTACTTTGACCAATATCACCTCCAGAGTATGCATTTAATTCATTAGAACATACTGAATGGGTCAAATCTACCACTTTCAGCCTCTCTTAATAGAAGGCTAATTTATGTCTCCTTGCATGCTAGTTTGAATGTTTATTTTTTTTTTTGGTGGTACAGGGATGTGATTCCCATCGGAGAAGGAGACATTGCCACCATGTGTCTACAGCTGTCCTCTCAGCCCAGGGAGTATTCGTACTTCAGTCCCAGGACTATGGCCACGTGGGTTGGACCAGGCTACTGGCAGTTCAAGCCAAAGCACAAGTGTGAGTGAAATTCTTTGTTAATGGACTCGGGTATCATGCCAGAGTAGAAATAAAGTGCTCTTGAGAACGACATGTTACTTATTGTTTATCTACGTTCCTGGATGCATGTAGACAGACTAGTGCTCTAATACTGAAACAACACACATTTTTTGCTGTTTATTTATTGTGATATGAGTTAATGTAGCCTGGGTCTAATGTATTTCTTCTCTTTGTGCTGTCTTAATGTGGGGCCTGCCAGGGTGGTTTTCATCCCATTATGTAATACCATAAATGTAACAGAAATGTATTTGAAATAGGTGTCTTACTTACACTATATGGTATACATGCTAGACATGCTAGAGGGATATGGGGTTAAATTAGGCTTTCACATTTTCTCTGATAGCTAAGATTTTCCTAATGGATGTCCACCCTTGCTGAATGTGTGCAGAGTAGCAGTTATCTGTCTCATCTGTCACCGACTTTCCAATTCAGTTTCATTTCACTTAATCTCCTTCAGTGGACCATCTGCCTGATAAGGAGCCACGTAAAAGGAAACCGAAGAAGGCCTTTGAAATAGACTTCACTGATGATGTCAACTTTGACACCTACTTTCGCACCACAAGGGTAAAAATCTTTGTTTTTCATTCCAAACAGGTCATATTCAATATGAGAGCTTGCCACCTGGTGCAGATATTGCCTCATGCTCAGTATTTAAGGAATTGTCACCATATGGAGAAATTAGTATATTCACATTCTCGCTAAGGTTTAGATGAGAAAATCAATATCATGTTTGTGTGTGTACAAACTAGGCAAAACTTAATTTATATCTCAGACTCCTTAAATAAGTGGCTGTTCTAACAGCTACTGTAATGTATTACATATATCTTTAATTCAGTTTTTCCTAGTCAGAAAGATAGTATTAAATATTGTAAGTAAAGAAACAAAATAGCTGGCTGAGTTGAAGGCATAACAGTCCTCATACTATTGATGTTGGTGATTTACTTTTCATGCCTTCATTGTTGTCATCTTGTCTAAACAGAGGGGGTTTTATTTTTGGACTGAAACTCCAGTGTCATTATGTAGACAGGCTTTTATGTTCAGAGCTGTGACACCTAACGACAGCGGTGGTCTGTCTCAACATGTTTCATCTGTTGAAATGTAGAGACATTTTTTGGTGTGGTAGCCATAGAAACACAGCATTCAGCACTTTAGGAATCATTCTTGATGCAGGTGGTGTCACAGTTATCAGCCCTGGGAGTCTTTATGCCTCTATTCCAGAAATCTGCTTTTATTTGTTCGGTGACCAGCCTGAATACTTAATAAGGCATTGCTGAATTTGTACTCATTCCTACTATTGGAAAGTTAAAGTAACAATTGTATTTTTAGTTACTGGTCAGATAATGATATGGCTTGACCATAGAAAATAAACTCAGATGAGATGAGGGCACAGGAGCAGTGTCGTAGCTGCAGCTAGAAAACAGCATGACACAGTGTGCACGCTCTGCTTTTAAGGTTTCCAATCATCTGTCATGAACTTGTCAGGACAGCTACTGTATACTTGCAGATCTGACCACTGGTCATGTGGATGTTGTTTTGGTAGATCTCTTCACAATACAGATGCTACAACTACAGTTTCAACTGTAGTAATTCAGCTCAATGAAATAGGACCGAATCACTGCCTGCTGGAATTTGAGAGACTGCCCAGGGTGTCTCAGTTCAATCAAAATCATGAATTTCTGAGTTGAAAAAGGACACTTTATGAAACTGAACTGAATCTGACATTGTATGCTTTCTCCTCACAGGCTGCCACCACTAACAGCAAGTCTGCCCTCAGTGCCAGCAATAAGAAGACTACTCTACCAGCAGATTTCCAGTTTCCCCCAGAGAGACTCTCCCAGCTCAGCCTCAAACCTTCAAGCTCAGTGAGAATGCACTACTCCTCTCAGCTGGCAGTGCCGGTGCACAGAGTTGAAAGTAGAGATGCACAAACACTGACTTTCTTTATTTGTAGCATCAGAGCATTGGTGTGGTCCATTACTTTTGCAGACCAAGAGATAGTTGGAATTAATTTGGGATCACTGGATATAAATGAGACATTTCCTTTTACCTGTATAGGGGCTTTTACAATACAGCTATGAGTGCCTTACATGTTGCATATGGCTGTCTTTGGGGACGCATTCCACTGTCCAGGATCCCCTTCAGCACTGGAGTCAGATTTTAGCTTAAAGCAACAACTTGGCAGTTTGTCTCCCCCTACAGTTGCTGAGTGTAATTGAGTTGGACCCAACAGTTGTAAATACTAGATGCCTTTCCCTCCTCCTCTTGGACAGTGGTACATGTGCATTTGTTTACAAGTTGAAGTTATACCTAAACCGCGAAAGAAAGACAAAGACTAAACAAACTCTGGTGTGAGACAAATTTACTTTAATTCTGTTAGTTGATTAAGATACTTAATCAGGAGTTATCGCATGATTTCTCACATTTTTTTAAATCTGTCCTAAACAGTGGTGGAAAGTAACTAAGTACATTTACTTGAGTACTGTACTTAAGTACAATTTTGAGGTATCTGTACTAGAGTATTTTGATTTTCTGTTGCTTCATACTTGGACTTCACGACATTTTAGAGGCAAATATTTTATTTTTTACTACACTGCATCTATTTTATAACTTTCATTACTAGTTACTTTTCAGAAACAGATTAATACAAAAATACAGTATAATTATAAGATCATTGATCTTTGGAGGTAAATTCACAGGCTACCCAGCAGTAATTCAAATTAAATCCATATAAGCCAGTTAACACTAGCTCCCCCTTTACCAGTGCAACATTGTGATTAACACAATAATGCATCAGTAATTATAATACAATAATATGATATACAGGAATGTGTTGTTCTGAATAAGTGTACGTATGAGTACTTTTACTTTTAGTACTTTAAGTATGTTTTGATGCTAATACTTTAGTACTTTTACCTAAGTTCATTTTGAATCCATGAATTTTACTTGTAACAGTATTATTACACTTGTGTACTGCTAGTTTTACTTAAGTAAAGAATCTGAGAACTTTTTCCACCACTGTATCTTAACGGCACCCCGAGGTAACTGATTACTGAGAGAAGTCCAGTAGTGTTCAGTGAACGTAGCCGTGTTAGTCTGTCTCAGCGCCTCCATCACTTTAGCTTCTCGTCTTCATACAAGTTGTGTATCTTGGTTACAGTGGTGGCTCTTGAAGTCAGTTCATACGAGCAGGCTTTGGATGTGATGTCAATTATTTTAAGCAGATTCTTGTCCGTCACAGTGGTAATCAGCCTGCAAACTGTAGCCACCATTTAGCTGTTGCTGTTGAAAGTTTGTTGCTTGTAGAGTTGTCCTGGTGTCGCCATTGCAAACCATACAGTGTGGTCTGTCTTTGATGAGAGGGAGGAGGGCTCTCTGCATCAGCTGTATGCTTAGCCAGCAAGTGGTATTGGAGACTTGACGTACTTCAGTGGTAACTTGGTTCACATTGACAGTAAATGTAAATTGAACTTGTCATTCAAAAGACCCTTTTCTTTATCCATTTCTGCTGCTTCATCGCTTCCTGTTTTCCCAAAATACAGGGCGGGCTGAGGGTCATGATCACAGAATGTGCCTGTGTTAATAGCGCGTCAAAAAAAATCTGTTCTGTAAAAAGAAATTTGCATTAACACATTATGTTAACTTTGACCCTCCTAATTTATTTATTTGGGAGACTGAGGTAGATGTGTTTTTACCACTGGAAAAACTACAAATCTCCGTGAGATGGGATGACAACGACGGGGTTCCAGCCTAGGTTGAATTATTTCATAAATTACATTCGCAGAGATGTATACTTTGCTGTGGTGGTGTTTTCGTGTTAGCAGATCTCTACAGCTAATGTCAGGACAGTAACTATTAATAGTAACAGGGTTGTTTTTAGCTCTCACCAATGAGTAAAAGCTATTTGGATATTTATTCTTGTCTGGTCTCTTGCTCTCTCTTTTTCTTGGCTGTGCCTGGACTCTGGCGACACTCTAGTTCTGGTTGTGTGTTTTGTGGAGCACTTTTTGTTTGTTTGTTTGTTTGTTTGTTACATAAATTGAACAAATCATAATAGATGTCTCCTGACTATACACCATACCTACTTACTGCTACGCATATGCTTTAGTCCATGTCCTGTTGCACAGCTTGTTCACAATCACAGTAAGCGGTTGTAGTGGTCTGAACTTTAAGTCCAAACTCCTGAGGTCAGGAATATTCAGTACTCTGAATGTACAACTGGAACACTAGTGCCTTGCTGATTCTGCTCTGAACAAGATGTAGCTCCTGCTGATAAAGCTAGCTTGGTCAGATAACGAGTACTCACCGAAAATGTCAGAACAAATTCTCCCATTACTTGGATATACTGCCCACTGCTAGAACATAATTATCATGGTCATCTTTTTTTTATTTATTTATTTTTTACTTTTCATACAATGGAGACAATGCATTCTATGTATGTGTAACTAAATTAAGATACGTAGATTGTGTTTTACTAAAAAGATCTGTTTGGTTTTGTTTACCCTAGTTGAGTCAGGAAGGCCAGAAGAGGCTGTCTGGAGAACTTGGAGAAGGCATTGGGGACTATGACTACAACAATGCCAATGACACCAACAACTTCTGTCCAGGTCTTCAGGTCTGAACCCCACCTTTGCATCCCTTTGTTTTTGTTAGATTTTATTATATTTTAACAGGCTTTATTTATCCAAGTACCATAGTTGTTCATAAATAGTAATATCATTATACTGCAAGGTACTTCACTTTGTGTAAGAGGTGTTTACAGCCATTGCCCTATATCCTGTATGTGTGATACCTGGTGCATTTGTAGAATGTTTTAAAGGAGAAAACTGAGCGATAGGGCTGTGGCTCTCCAAAATAACCCTAAGAGTCACAGGTGCATATGGACCTGTTGTACTGAGCTAAAACTAGTGGATCAATTGCAAACATAAAATGAACTTCAGCTAGAACTCCAGCTGGTGATCATCAAACTAATTTCAGCGTACTGCTGATTTTTATTTGTTTTTGTTTTGTTTTCCTGTACTCCTTCTTTTTCTCTGATGATTATTGCTGGGTGTTGTTACCATGGTGTAAATACAATACGCTGCTATAGCATTAATGTCACAGACTTGTCAGATTGACAGATATTTATCACATTAAGCTTTAAACAATATGGTACACCTCACTAGAGGGACTGAAAGTGGAAGAGGAGGGAGGATGTTTAGGGCATATGACAATATTCAGGTATCAGATCTGTGACCTTCCCAGCCCTGTCCATTCTGATGATTATAATTACTTTAACACCAGGCTGAACTGCTGCCTCTGAATCAAATACTGTGTTATAGAATCTGCTAAATGTGAGCATGTCTAATATCCCAAGAGACAGAATTGTCATCAACAATGACATGTCACAGCATAGCAAAAACCTTTTAGGGGCCACATCTCTGGTCTGCATCCTCAGGTTGGCATTTCTTTGTCCATCTGCCTCCGCAGGGTGGCGACAGTGACGAGGATGTTGAACTGTTTGCGGGTTCAGATGACACACAACCTTCAGGTGACAGTATACCTGCGCCCTCTCAAGATCTACAGGACATCTCCACATATGGAGAGCAAGATCTGGTGCCTGAACCACACAGGGTGAGTGACGCTAGATTTACTGCAGGGTCTGTTGTATGTGGCTCCTGGTATCTCTGCCCAGAAGCTTCTATATGAATCTTTTCAAGACACATGAGATTGTTTTGCACAATGGTGGCTATAGCTAAAAGTGCTTTCAATGGATTTCTAGTACCTGACATCAGTTAAAGTGCAGTTATGCTGGACACGTTGGCCATGGCAGCTGTGACAACACTGAGCCAGAGCTGTTTATGTTTGTGCTTGAGGTGTGCTTGACTCACTGCAGTCTGATAGTTGTTGCTGCTGAGAAAAACAATCTACGCTGCTGGAATAACAGTAGAATAAGAAATCTACAGGAAATACGGGGTTACAGCCTACGTTGTAACGTTGTCAGCATATACACTGACGAAGCAGATGAAGTTTTTATCAAGTACCAAAAGTAGTTGTTCATGTTGACCATAAAACGCTCAGGGCTAGGAAAAGGTTAGTTTCACGTTAAAGTATTAAGGGGAAATAGAGCTTGATGAGGGAACACACTTCGACACAACAGTCTTTGTCTGGGGCTGCAAGAAGCAGAGTGGTCGAATGCTCCACTGTGCAGTGACTTATGTAGCTAACTAACTGCTACCCTGCTGTGTAAATGCAATGAGCTGCAGTGACTTCTCTGTCCTGTTTTGCAGTGATCATCTGACATCTTTAGTGGTGTGTCACTGGACCTTTGAGGGTGGTTAACCAATGTTAAGTAAACATCCATAACGTTAACATTGAGAGGCACCGTGCATTGAATGTTTGTAGACATACTATAGACATGCATTGTATTATGTTTATGCACAGGACAGTATGTGTCAATAGCAGGAAACTCACTCAGTTCTGTTGAAAAATCACTGCTCTTCATAACACAAGAACAGTAGTGTATCTCAGTACTGGTAGATATGACGGATTTACTGGGTTTGTGCAAAACAGCAGAGGTAGTCTTTTTATGTTCTGTGGTGGGTTAGAGGGTAGAGGGGGGGAGGTAATGGACAGCGTTCAGCATCCTCACAGCCTGGTGGATAAAGCTGTTTGTAAGTGTGGTGGAGTGGGCCTGAAGACTTTGATACCTTCCCCCTGAAGGCAGGAGTTTGAAGTGGGAGTGTGTGGGGTGGGAGGTGTCATCAGCAATGCTGATGGCTCTGCGGGTGTTAAAAATATCCGTGAGGGAAGGCAGAGGGGCACCGATGATCTTACTGGCTGTATTCACTATGTGTTGCAGGGTCCTTCTGCAGGAGGCAGTACAGCCTCTGTACCACACAGTGATGATGCTCTCAATGGTGCCCCGGTAGAAGGAACACATGATGGGGGGTGGGGCACTGGCTCTCCTCAGTTTGCAGAGGAAGTAGAGGCGTGTTTGAGCTTTCTTGGCCAGTGATGCTGTGTTGTTGGTCCAGGAGAGGTCCTCAGAGATGTCTAGGAACAGCATTCGCACGCAAGAGTTGTTTGAGTTGTTTGTTGAAGTGCTGCAGTCAGTAACTCTGAAAGTAAAAAATACATTTAGGAAGCATGAAGGCTATGTGTCCATTTTGCACAACAGCCTACGCCATCATGAATTAGTCAGGTTATTATTTCAGTTTTTGCTTTTTAGTTATGTACTTAATGTTACTGCTTTTTCCTGTAGGTCAACAAGATTGAGATCAACTATGCTAAGACCGCAAAGAATATGGACATGAAGAGACTCAAGAACAGCATGTGGACTCTTCTGGCCGAAAGCCCAGAAGAGCTCACAGAGGTAAATTACACTGTCATGTATTAGCTTTTATGTCAGCAGGTATACTAGATAATAAATTATTCATTTTCTGGTTTTGAAAGTTTAGTCTTTAGTCACTGCTCACATTTGGTGGATAGAGTAGAAATGTAGTCAGAGTTTTAGCTGTTTGGGTGTGTGTGTGTGTAGATGAATTTATTTTTATTTTATTTTATTAGTCATGCTTTCATGTTCCCTGCAGGGGGTGGAGACTGTGGAGAAACCAGAGGTGTGTGGGGAGAAAGTCTTCAGTGAGACCACAAAGACACTGTTACAAAGGTACCAGCAGACCTCCTACCATAACGTAGCACTAATGAGAAATAATGTGCCCTAATAGCACTCATCAAAAGAGAATTTCATGCTATGTTGTATTTATTTATTTTTGTCCCTGTTGATGGAGTCAGGCTTGGGATATGAAAATGCAGATTTACACACACTCTTCTCCAGCATGTCTACAGTATATTCTCATGAAGAATCATCTTCACTCATAGAATTATATTGACTTCTTAGTTAATTATATCATACAGCCACTGCGAGCATACTCATGTTTAACACTGATCCCTGTCATCAAACCCCACAGGTTTTATAGATGTGTGTTATTTTGAAATGTGTGATCCCTGTAGTTTAACCCATAGACCTTGCTAGTCAAAGCTTTACTGGAGCACAATCCCCCCCATTACTCAAATCACACAATTATTTTCCTTGAACATCTGCTGCATGAATAAAATGTGTTATTGTGCTATATGAACTTCCCTTACTTATCCCACTATTCCACTGCCATACTCCTGCTACTGAAACTGAAACAACTACTAGTAAAGGTAAAATGTAGAGATATTAATCTTTATGAAAATATTTATTTTGACACTTTAAGAACATTATCAACATGTTTTTATGGTGCAAAAGTCTGGCCCTGTATTGCACATTTCTTTATATTCATCTGCATTTCACAATAATGTAATTTGATTGTCAAGCAGCCCCAGTTTGATTTGTCAAATGTAAACTTTCACAAGTTAATATATTAAGAAATCATAAAAAAGTAACTGTTTTTGTAACCACATAAGCCACATAACATACAGTATCTATGCTGCATCTACTTCTGAATCATACTGTACAGTCAATGGATGGAGGTCCCACTCCTGTCTCCATAGATGGAGAGCTTCCTCCACACTTCCACATCCTGCCTAAGGTTCACCTTATTCTTAAATGTGCATGAAACAAACATCATTTGGACTGTGTCAGAAGAGCATCAAATATTATATTCATTAAATTCAGGATGAATAGTCCAACATTAACATAGACCACTATGTGTGCTGTATTATGCAGCATACTTGGCATTTATTTTATTTCATTTTATTGTAGTACACCAATAAATAGCATTTTAGTCCAACTGATCACATGCTTTGATGTAGAGAGCTCTAAATTACTTCACGTTCAACATCCACGCCTGGTTATGTACCAGCTAACTAAATTAACATCAGTGATGTATCAGACTGTCAATCAAAGCTGTCAAATCATCCAAAAGGCACCCAGTGTTATATCATCAAATAACTTCTTAAAAACAACCTTAACAGAAGAAGGACCGATGGTACACACACATCAGCATGAGAAAAATGTATTTGATTTGTACTTTGACTTTTTAGCTTGGCTCATGTCTCATCTGCTAACCTACACTGCAACCAGCCACCAGAGGGTGATCGACTCATGGCGGCATCACTTCTGGGAGCTGTCACATTGTCCATTTTTAAATGGTCTATGGTTTGACCAAAACATGTGTGTGGTGGTGGGTGCAGTGCAGCTGGCAGCAGAACTGAGAACTAAAACTTCCTTAAAGGCACCAGGTTTGAACAGTATGACTGATCATGAATGCTCTTTGTATGTCTATTTTTTGTGTGGTGGTCCAGATTACCAAACACGATGGCCCAGAACCTGTCAGTGCCTCTGGCCTTTGTTGCTCTGCTTCACCTTGCCAACGAAAAGGTGAGTGCTGTTTATCTTAAGCATTATGGCTGACTGTTTTTGGCCATGAAGCTAAATCCTCTTTTTATGTTAGGTAACTGAAGCTGCATTGTTCTGTTGGTCAAAATCCTGGAAAGGTTTAGAAAAAAAGTTTTGAAATTTTAGGTGTCCTAGGCAGTTTCTTGGCTTGTCAATAAATAGAACAAAACATAAAACCGCAAACACTGAATCTTTATTTTTACAGTGTGATTTTAGTACAGATTATACAAGCAAGATAGAGTTGAATGCAAACATTTGCATCTCCTTACTTTGAAATGGCAAAGGAGTAAAATAATATTTTTATCCTCAACATCATATTTAATGCACATTCAGCTTGTACAACTGTTCCTTCATCAACAAAGGTAAGAAAAATGGTCAGGGAGTGTATAAAAAGAAGGGTATAGTAAAATAATGAAAATCATATCAGTTTCATAAGTTTGCATCCCCCTTTATGAAATGTTCTCCACTACTTTGTATGTCCTTCCTAACCTCCTCTAACCTCTTTGTGTTCCGTGTTAAATGGTGTCACTGGAGAAGTCACAGTTAGCCTCTGAGACTGTAAATAATAAACATGATGTCAGTCACATAATTTCTCATGCTGATCTCTGAGTCAGAAGCAAAGCAAATACCAAGCAGCAGCCTCAGAGGCTGAAAAATCAAGGTAATGCGGAAATGTTAAAACCCGTGGGTCCTCGAACGGCCGCTTGAGGCTGGCTCCAAAAGGGAGTCAGTCTCCATAGACTCCCATGTTAAAATGCCCAACTTTATAGCAGAAAAAAACATGTTTACAGCCTGGTACAAAAAAATGGATTTTATCTCTGTAGCTAATTCCCCCTCCATGATAACTGTAGAGTGGTGGTGAATTTCTATATATAACTTGCCTGAATCTCAACAATGAAGGTAGTGATAGCAAAATTAGCACTAGCTATAAAGTCACCATACCCACTATTAGGGAGTTGTCCTTTCATGATGTTTTTTGTTTTAATCCCAGAGTTACACCTGTCTTGTATATGCTGAGTGTGCAGTATCTTGCAAAAATTTTTTTTTTTTTTTTATTTTTTTTGATAACAGAATTTGGAGCTGGTGAAGGTTGATGACATGTCAGATATCATCATCAGACAAGACCACCGATGAGAAGTGAATGATGGGTCATTGTAATATAGTGCTATTCTTTTATGCTATTCTGTACTTAGTCATCCTTACTTTGTTAAATATATGTTTCTGTGACATTCTCCTGTTTAGATTTCAGCGATTTTTTTTTTTTAAGCAAATATGTAATAAATAACTTTAAAAAAGGAATCTGCCTGGATTTTTAAGATTTTAGAATTTGTCTTTGATTTATTCTGTCCTATTGGTGTGTAACCTGTGTGTAGACAAAATGAACTGCTTATCGAACACCAAAATATAGATTGTCATAAAATAAGCCTTTTTTGTAAAACAAATATTAGGCTTTTGCTTAAAGTTCATACTTCAAGAGTGCAGTGAACAGTATTTTTAGCACACTTGCTAATGCTTAACAGACAAATAAACATAATGGCTCAGATTATTTTGGGCTGCTTGCAATTCAGAGCGGCCTGCAGCAGTTGTCTGACGTAACAGCAGATCAGTATTTAAGCCTCGCCTTCCATAGCAGCAGTGAAACCGGTTGGTCAGGGCTGGCTCTGCCGGCTGGGTGGGACTCAGTATGACATCAGTACATCAAGGAGCTACAGGACAGGGAGGAGCTAGCTGGGAAACACTGAATTCCCAGCAGCCCTTTGGTCTTCATCAAAGGGCAGGTAAAATTTCACCCTTCACTGGTTCATTTAAAATATTGATAAGATGGTGATCCTATATTCTCATCACTAGAGTTTTCTCATGTGGATCAGTACGGAATGACATCTTTACTTAATCAAATGAGATCTATGACAAGGAACATTGCTGCTGATCTAAAGATACAGTGTTAAAGTGGCAAGACAAAGTATGTGAACCCTTTGGAATTTCCTGGTGAGCTGCATTATTTGATAATAAAATGTGATCTGATTTTCAACTAAAGCACAGGCTTAGACAAATGCAATGAACTTAAGTTAATAACACACAAACACAATTGTCTGTGTTTTTACTGAACATAGCTGTTAATCATTCATGGTGTTGATCTGGCCTGCACAATGTTCAAGAGGAATTCTGAACCATTCTTCCTCATAGAACAGCTTCAGCTCACATGTTCTTAGGATGTCTGCTGTGAACGGTCAAGGTCTGGGCTCTGAGCGGACCACGGCAAAAGGTGGATTTTCCACATCATTCTGAAGTAGGTTTACTTAAATGTTTATGGTCAGTATCCCACTATATCACCCAACCTCTACTGAGCTTCAGCTGGTTGACAGCCACCCTGACATTATCCTAGAAGATGCACTAATAAACTTTAATAAGCTGTCCAATCTCCTGAGGCAGCAAAGCAGCACCAGCTCATTATGTTTTCAAGTTGCGCCCTTTATATGCTAGACATAATGCTGCCTGTTGTTCTCAACCAATTAAACATTTCAGCCTTTAGCTGTTACTCTGGGTTTTCTTTGCACTGTGCCACCTCTAGGGAGAGTAGTCACTCATCTCCATTTATAACAAATTTGTCTCTGGGCTGTAGACTTTGAAACCCTTTCCAGCTTTAGGCAAATCAACATTTATTGATCAGAAGTGAGGCATGGTTCACATCAGCAGATCCTTCTTGTGAACAGCAAACTCCAGATGGTGGAGTGTTTTTATAAATCAGTGTAGCTCTAACCTGCACCTCTGATCTGGAGTCATTGATTGGACTTAATCAAACCATATTACACATACTATTCTTTAATAAACCCCACTGTGAATGGCTTAATGTATTCACTATGAAGGACAATAAAATGATTTGTGTATTATTAGTTACAGTAGATAAAATGGTTTCAGAATTGTACCTTATATAAAGATCTGACTATACTTTAGGACAAAATAAATATAAACAGCCTTACTAGCCTATAGCCTTACTTTTTGATGCCACTTTATTGTGTTAAAAATGACCCTCCCTTTAGCAGTACAACATACTGAGAAACAACTAATGAGCAAATTAGAGAAATCTTAGTGTTAATTTCCTGGGATGGACAAATGACTTTGGCATAAGGATATATAAAGACTCAAGGTGGGGAAAGCCACTGCTGCTCAGATCAGGTCAGAAGTACAAAAAATGTGATGAAACTGTTTGATAGTTGTATCTCGGTCAATTCAGAAGTAAGTACACCGTCAACATTTGATGCCTGTGTGCCTAGGACGCCATCCCTAGGATAAAAGAGGTAGAGACACATCAAGTTGCTGTATTTTAAAACGATAAAGGGAATTACGGCAACTGCCTTCAAAATAAAAGCATGCAGTTGTCAAGGTGCAAAGTGGATAAAGGCCTAACAAAATCCAGTCATCACACATTTTACAGTTAACATAACAATAAAGCCTGCAAATCAAAAAATGGATAAACTAAAAGTCAGTTTTCGACTGAATCAATGTTTTTCATAGGCTTCATTCTGCATGTAAAGCACTGAGGCAATTTGATTAAAAAATTACCGTAGTATTCAAGAGCCTATAATTTGATGTTGATGTTATGACTAAAATAAAATAAATTCAACATAAAAGTGCTCCTTAAATGTACTCTCTTTTTGTATAATCCGGCTAAAATCCCTCAAAAAAGATGCAAACGCCTATTAAGAAGCAGCCTTTCACTAGGAAGTACCGTGGCCGTATTGTGGTGTTTGCTACTTGACACTAGAAGCAAAGGAATCCAGAGAGGAGGGGGACCCGGAAGTTGCATAGAAGAGGAAACATAATTGTTTCGGTGGAGCGTCGAGCTTTCAGGTCTTTAAAAAAAAAAGGTTTTAATAATATCCCCAACTTGAAAGTAATTGATCCTGTGGGCTGCTGTCAGAAGGCCTTGGTTCCAACAAGATGGACGTCGATCCGGTAGGTTATAAATGTTGTTTTTGTTGATTTGAAAGCTTCTCTGCCTTCACACTGTTTTACGTCGGACGTCACATGCAACAGGTGTGTTTCCAGATTGAATAATTTAGCTACATTTGACAGAAGAAAATATTGTACAACGTATGAAAACTTGATACACAAGTGAGCGCATTAACTTTTCATTGTTGAGAGGAAGTCCCGGAGTAGCCTCAGCAGGCGGCCTGAGCTATTTAACAACCGCAGCCGGAAAAACACAGTCTGAGGTGTCACTACTTTTTTTCTTTTAATTGAGACCATACTTTCTTTTCTCTTAACACTAAGATAAAACAGACACTTCACGTGGGGGCATTCATTGCCTATTAATTACACAGTTTTTTTTTTTTAATTCCAGTCACTAACCGACTGGCACCGGTGTCAGTTGCACTACTCTGCTTCGCCAAACTCCACAAAAGATAGGACAGTTTAAGAGTGTTAACTTAGCTAACTCACCGACAGAGATAACATGGCATTTCTTAATTTTCACATTTGAAGCTACAAAGCTCTTTATATTAACTGGGCGAAGATGCTATCATTTGTAACAGCTGTCAGGCTTCGAGCTCTAGCAATGTAGCTTATGTTTATCCCTAATGTCATCCCTTAGCTTCACAGGATATTCAGCAGTAACGTTAAGGTTACTTATGTATTTTAATAGTCTGTTTATTCATGACAGCTTACAGAATTGCAGTAGATGGTACAGCAGGATTCATTAAATCTTTCCTTCCAAGTTGTTTTGCAGCACAAATCTTGATTTGATTTGATTTATTCTTTCAAGCATGTAAAGACAGTTGATATGTCAACACACATAATTTTACACATATCCAACAAATGCTAATCCAATATCAATTTGCTTATACCTAGTACATGCTTGAATGGAGTAGGAAGAAGTCAGACTTATCCAGTCCTACCCCATGACATCATCTTACCATCATTGGTTTACAAGCAGTATCTCTACATAAATAATTATCTTCTACACCACACAAGTAATATACTAAAGAATTATAACAAAG